CTTTCATATGTGGCCTAGAAAAATTGAAAAAAAACACCACATATTTTTTGGTCTCACTAATACATGAAGAGAAAACTGTAAGAGATTGCCTATGACCGAAAAGACAACTTACTAAGTCAGGGAATGAAGTTAAGACAAGCTGGGAAAAAAAAAAAAAAGTGTATTTTATGCGCACGGCAATCTGCAAAGAAAAATGGTCTGTGGGTGTCACTTTCTTGAGGCTGAAGTGTTAAAGACCAAATTCTTCCTTTTTACATTAGAAATTCATGTCTTATCTGTCTTGGAGAATTGCTTAGAGAACTGCTGAGAATATTCAATTCCTCAACTTTCAGTCTTGCTTGAAACACCTTTTCTTTCCAACAGCCTGGGCACTATTTAACTGCAGTGACTTGAGATTTGGAAGAAATGGTGACTCTAACGAGCAACAACCCGGCATCTTCAGTTAGGCTGGCAGGCTGAAAAAATCGTGCTTGCAATCTGCAAGCCTGTCATTTTCTGTTTTCTTTGGTGGGGCTACTCAGACTTTCTGCATCAGCACAATTAACAAATGATAGGGCATTACATATTAAAAAAGTTACAGTCATTTCTCCTCTGACTAGAAGTGAATAATACAATTAATAAAACACTTCTAAAAAATGTGAATGCTATTAAATATATATTACCGGTATCACAACCATTCTACTAATATGGAAGAGCAATGGAAATGTCACAGTACTGTTCTGCCTCTTTCTCTCGGCCCATTTGCTGACGCTCAAAGGTTCGTCTCTGCTGTGTAAATGGCTGCCCACCGCTGCTCCTCCTCTGGGAACCACCTGGCGAGGAGATGCCAGGCAGCTGTTCTCCACCAGGCCTGACGGCGTGTGCCCACATAAACAATTTTCTCCATCTTTATGAAGTGGAATCCTACCATGTGCTCCAACCTCAAGAAGAGATAAATGTGCCCATTTCCACCTTTTAACTATGAATCGATAAAACTTTTGCTTCAGATGAGAAGGTAGCCTTGTTCTTTACCAGCCCCTGAGCTGGCCTACGCTTGGAGCTGCTTAGCTGATTCTGTGCTTTTAATGGCTTTTATGTGGCCAGCGTAAGGATTCAGAAACGAGAAGCAGGCCTGTGTCATGAGAGAAGGGAGCGGAGCACAGATCACATTCTGCGATTTCCATAACCAGCTTTGTACCAGTCCAGCTTCCAGTGGAGGGGTTGACGAGGGGGACGAGAAGAGCACAGCTTGTGTAGTCCTGCAAAATAAAGCCTGTGTGGGGATGAGATTGCTGTCTATAAATACTTTTGGCAGGGGATACGCACAGGAGAGCGGGAAAGGCTACTTCAGGACAGTATTTGCACAGGAAGAAAAGATGGATGTGGACCGGTCACAGGGAAACGTAGGTTTGAAATTTTAAGAAGGCTTCCAGCTGTCAGAGACGTTTCTCTCAGACAGCCTTCCTGTAGCAGCAGTGAGGGCCAAAATGTTTACTGGCAAAGCACGATCAGTTTATGGAAGAAAGAATAAAATGGCTGTTTGCAACGCTAGGGAGCTGGGTACAGTATATGGCAGAGGGGAATTAAGCTGCCTTGGCTTACAAATGCCAGTCTAGCTGAGCTTCCGTAAGTGGGGGTGCTGTTAGCCCTCTCACCGGAGGTGCAGACATACAATGAATTATAGTAAAAGACAGTCTTGTCAGCACATGGTGGAATTGAAAGAGTAGAAAACAAAAGCCTTAGTGATGAACATGGGCAGTAACAGCTATTTTTTTGGTCAAAGAGGGCAACGGGAACTACTTGTAGAGTTTATTCTTACCAACAGCAAGGTAGTCTTTATTCCTAGTGATTTTAAGATTGGATGAATACGTCTGGGTAGCATAACCTCCTACAGATACACGCTTGTCTTTTTAAGTCTGTGTCCCTTTCTTCTCAGTGTTGGCTTTGATTACTAGGTGACCAAAGATGTGAATGCTTTGCAAAATTTAAAGGGTTAGCTCTAATTTTAGCGAATGTCTTTAATGTTGACACTGAAAGATCAATGGTCCTCTCTCTCCTGTGTTTAGGAAATTTGCCAGCTCATGATCGGGCCTTGTTCAGAAAGATCCCTATCTGCAACTGCAGAGAAAAGCACTTGTTCTCTGGAAAATATTACTTTGGCAAAGGAGTGATGAAGTTTTCTGAGAATTTTGGTTGTTAGCTACCTGGCACAACGGAAATTCTGAATCATTTATTGCCTTCTGGAAGAAACAGTCACTTCAAAATGGTTACACTCCTTCTGCCATTGCTTGAGAAACAAACTTCTGGTTAGGCCCTCACGACTTAGCTATGCACTAGTAATCACATACAGTACCTCACCTTATAGTCCAGTTGACCCCTCCCTTTGCTTTGTCAGCAACGACAGCTTCTCACCAGCTCCGCTACCCCTCCCATCCAGCGTGTGTTAGGTGGCGGAGAAACTTTCCATTTAGGTAACTAATGCTGGCTGGGCAGGTGACGAACCGAGATGGTTTCTGTACATGGACAGCCTCCATTTTCACTCTTCCCTTCTCTAATTGCATTCTGTTTCATTCACTTGTTGCTGACTGTTATAAACTAAGGTCGAGTACACAAGGCAGGGATTATTACTTGCTTGTATGACAGGATACAACCTCGGTATTTGGCTGGCTCTGCGCGGTGTTTCCATAACGCAAATATGCTTGCAGAGTGATGTTTTTCACAAAGAAATCCCTGAATAAGAGAGACCAAGACATAATTTTGAAAGGCCTAAATATTTCTATGATCGCAAAACACTCAGTGTGAAATCTGAACCTGAAAGTAGCATCCTGTTTGTGTAAAAATCTTTACGCTTTATCAAATCAGAAAGCCTCAGCGATATGCCCGGGTTAGTATTTGACTGGCAACGCTGTAACCTGCCCTTGTGATCCTTAGTATGAAAAATTGAGTTTATTTAGCAGCGCCTAGCTACATCTAGCTGCTTTCTGAGAATTCGCGTTTCTGCCACGGAACCGCAGCGACACAAAGGCGACGCCGGGCAGGGAACCCCCACCTACTCCAGCTTTCTACTCCTCGTTTTTCTTATATTTTTTTTTTCCCCTGCTCCCCGTTGGGCTCCCAAGGGGCGCGGGCCCGCAGCGCGGCCCC